TGGATGCCGGCTAGCTCAGTGGTCTAGAGTTTAAGCGCTTTGGCGCAACACTGATAGGTCCTGAGTTCGAATCTTGTGAGGCGGGATAGTGGATGCGCACTGCTGAAGAGTCCCACAATAGGACGAAACGGCCTTTCAGTACTTCCAGGTTTTCCATGGTGATCTAGCTTCAATTGACTCATGATCTCAACTATATAAAATTACTAAAAATTTCCACAAATCCCCCTTCTGAAAATTTAAGATCTGTTATATAAATGGATTCTGACTTAGAAATAAGAAAGATTAAGGTCATGTACAAGAGGTTCAATACCCCTTTGATGATAGAGTAATGACAACATAACTGTAACGATCCTTTTTTCTTGAAAAAAATATTGTTTGTCCACTAGTTGTCAATTTGGCATGAAAATTAACCGTCAATTTTCGACTACTTTCGATAAAACGCTAATTGATCTAAGATTTCAAACGTATTCTAATCAGTCCTTATTGAAATATGCGTCTACTGAACGGACGTCTTAATAAAGTCTGTCTGTCAAAAGTTTCGGAACTTTGAATGATCGTGACTGACTTCTTAGTCAGATATACCTGGATCCCGATGTTTAACATTACGCTTTGAATGAATCAGCAACTACAATGTCTGGAAAACAGTAGCTCAATAGACAGTGTTGATATTTGAGGCACCTGGTGTTGGGTTTAACTCACAACGTGAACAACAACCATGAGACATACACTCATCCTGCAGCCTACTGCTAATCACAATCCATTTATATTTTCACTGTTTATTTTAGCCTAGAACTGTTCAATACGATTACAGTTCTGTATGTTTACTAAATGTAAATTTAATACATCATGTTTTACAATAGTAGTGGAATCCAGGATGCGCGTTTCTTCCTATTTGGGACTCGTCAGATGGATGTATCTGCATCTCAGACTTGTTGATGTTCACTCTGGGACTCGAACCCAGTAACTTTCGCTTCAAACGCCATCGCGTTATCCACTCAGTCACTATTTTACAATGATCAAAAGTTGGACATATTGTCTTGTTTAGTTACCATGGTGTTACTGATAGTAAATTTCTTCCTACTGATTACACCATCATCATTGTCTTTAGCATTTTATACGAATGGATTGGTCCCAAATTGTTTTTCACCCTTAAATATGACATCATAGATAACAAGAAATGATTATATAATCATCTAGAAGTGTACAAACAATCTATCCCACATTAGTCTTTCAGTAAACGTGACAGAAACTACTATCATTATCATTATACATGGCAACCTTGATGGGACAAGTTATTGATGTTAACATGGCCTTAAAAGATGACATCTAAAACTACACAATAGTACAGAATCTTAAGTTTCTTAATCGTTTCATCCAATATATACTCAATAAATGATAGCTTATCAAGTGTTATTGTAAGGATGACTCGTTGGTAAACTCTAGGAAGCCTTCAAGAAGCCCATAAATAGCCGAAGACATTCAATCCAATCACTGAGATCATTAAATCCAGTTATGTGTAATATAGAATCTAGCACTTATGTGAATCAGTTCAAGTCGCAACAGTATATCAAGACATAACTCCATTATAAGTGGTAACAGAAATGATTAGATATGAATAGTATCATTCGAGAAGGAACAAATTCCTGGAATAAATTGCAGAAGATAAGTGAATACATCCATGATGTGTCATTCAATATCTCTGATAGTTTGTTTGCAACAATCGTATAGATCCCAAACCAGATAGCCTGAGCCTTACTTAAATGTCTGTGTATTGGTTTTTAGTCACCTCTTGACTAAGTTCAATCTTCTCCTATTTTAAATAGTTCAGTTTAATGTCTATATAGAAAAATGTCCGATGACCAACTTGATCATGAATTCAGTGTAAAAAGAGATCACTTCAATGAATGAATAGATTGTTGATAGTTATTTACAAGTTCGAGTCTCGCTTAGTATGTTCCCTTTGAAATACGTACTGACAACGCTGTCCAGGAGAACAATTAGAACTTTAGCAACAAAACTATTCAACTCAGAGACCACAACATTCTCAATATCCACACAGCGAGCTATATATATATATATATATTTCCCATCATTAGTATATTCCTTTATACCCGCTCATACACATGTGAAGCAAACATACAATCCCACTTAAAGTCGAGATTAGGATTTAATACATTTAAATTATAGTAATTTTAATAGTTGAATTCACGAGTCTATCTAAGCTTGACCACTATTGAAAACCTGGAAGCACTGAACTGATGTTCCATCCTAGTTTGGAACTCCTTAGCTGTACTCACCCACGATCCTGCACGCGTTCTTGCTCCAGATCGAAGGTCCTGTGTTCGAATCTTGCGTGAGGACTGTGGATATGCGTTTCTAAGGAGTCCCATACTAGTCGTTCAGTATTTCCAGGTTTCCAATGGTGATCTAGCTTAGATTAACTCATGGAAATATAACCATATTCGTAAGTATTTATAAGAAAGTAAAACAAAATGATGAAAGTTTGGCGTTATATTTAGAAAAACTTCAAGTTTTATTCCATCCCTCCTTAATACTTGGATACTAATCTATCTGTTCTCATAGTCTTTGATTCATTTTGAATGAGCCATGCTGGTAGGTGTAGACTACCTGGTTGGGATTCGCAAGATGATAGCAATCGATGGTTAGAGACCTTGAATGACATAGCTCAAAATCGATTGCAATGGCGAAGGTGCATTCACTATTTGTGTTCTACCAAATTCTAACCTTTTGAATTCTTCATGTCCCTATCCTTTTTCTCTTTTCAAATTTATTTCACTGAATTATACTCTTTGAATAACATCTTCAAACTCTATTTTTTCACATTAATGTTTATACTCTTACTACTTCTATCACTATGGTATTTGAATCAACAACTGCTTCTCTGTCCTAATGTGGTATTGCAACTCGAACTGATGTACGTACGTAAGAAGTTCTACGTTGTGACTGACCGACTGATTTTGAATGATGCACATTATAACAAACATTTGAAATGTTCAAATACTGAATAAAAGACAGAATTGAAATAGATTCATATTAAGTTAGTAAGTCGATTGATATCTTCATCCCGACTTAATTGATTGACATTAATACACGAACACACACACATAAGTTCTTTCCCTAACACAATAAAGTTTTTTACACTTCTTTAAAGTTATTACCAATAACAAGTCAGTTGTCTAATAATTTGTAGAATGTTTAATTCCTCACGTCATTCCTGATTGAAGTCAGTTCAGCAACCTTTTGACTATATGACTTCATGTCATTATCGTAAATCCAAGTCAAGTTACTCCAAGCGTCAGAGTATCCAGTTGTATACATTTTTAACTTTAATCAATTCAATATGTCAAATATTTCCCATTCATCAATAGGAAGATTTAAACAAGTAATACTGAGTGAATTTAAACTTCACCCTATTGCACAAGCAAGTGGTTATCAGGACTCAGTAGATAAGTGCATAAAGTGATGGCGTTTGAAGCGGATGTTACTGGGTTCGAGTTCCAGAGTGAACAAGTCTGAGATGCTGGTACATTCAGCTGACGAGTCTCAAATAGGACGAAGCGAGCATCAACATGGATTCCACTGCTAGCCACTATCCATCTTTGCTTAGAGAATACTCTTTTAAATCTCATCAATAATGAATATACATATAAATGATTCCTTTCAGTACATGATGTTCGTCTAATAAACAATTCAATTCCCCTAGTCATATGAGCCAACAACAAAAAAATTCATTGGAGTTCTAAATTATGAAGTACTTAATTACGCCGAGAAATGAAGACAGTTATGAGAAGAATGAACAAACATTGGATAGAACTAGAATGGAAGGCTCAGGACAGTGTGGGTTGGAGAATGCTAGTTGGCAGCCTATGCTCCTTCACGAGAGGTAACAGGCGTAAGTAAGTAAGTAATTAACCGAGCTCAGTTTAAAATGGTTCCTAGTTGACAACAAACGAACAAATCAAGTGATTGACAAATATAAGTAATTTTAATATCATACGAAGTATTTTCAATATCCAACTCTTATCTTTTTTAATAGTTGAATTAATTAGTCAATTAAAGCTAGACCAACATGGAAAACCTGGAAGTACTGGACAGGCATATCGTCCTAGTATGAGACGATCCCGCTCGTCAAGTTCGAACTTAGGACATTCGACCTCACGAGCGAGTGCCTAACCTTTAGACCCCTCAGCTGGCATCCAACTGTGTTAATGTCTAACTCCAGACAGTCAATATTCAATTCAATGTCACATTATTTCATATTAGAATAAAAAAATAACTATTCATTATGTTCAGAAAGGGGGGGGTTATGGAGATTTTATTAATTTTATCATTGAAATCATAAGTCAATTGAAACTAAGCTCAATGGTCTAGAGTTTAAACTCCCGCACGCGCAAGACTGATAGGTTCTGAGTTCTTATCTCACGAGGCGGGACCATAGATGCACACTGCTGAGTAGTCACACATTAGGACAAAACGACCGCCCAATGCTTCTAGGTTTTCCATGATAATCTAGTTTCAATTAACTCATGATTTCAAGTATTAATTATTTGAAGCTGGTTTTGTGGAGATTTTAGTAATTTTACATAATTGAAATCATGAGTCACTTGAAGCTAGACCATCATGGAAAACCTGAAAGCACTGGACGACCGTTTCGTCCTATTGTGGGACTCCTCAGACAGGTTTGTTGTGAGATAGTAACTCACTGAGGACATTGGTGGATATGTCGCTCAATTTCATGGATTAGTTGAAATTATACATTAACACTGTTGGATGCCGTCTAGCTCAGTTTGTCTAGAGGTTAAACTCACGAGACCGATACATCTCAGTTCTGAATCTCACGAGACGGGATCGTGGATTTGCACTGATGAGTAGTCTCACATTAGGACTTAATAATATAATATAAATCATAACATATTTCTTCTATGAAGAAAAAGAATGCGAAAAAGAAAAAGAAAACAAAAACCCCCAGAAAAACTTACCTATCAATCGATTTATTGATTTTTTAATAATTTCACTCTCATTTTTTTTAATATTCCCTTGACAACAATATTTATAAATAAAATCCATTTTTTGAATAATTTTCAATTTGGATCTTTGATCTAAATTAAATTTTTTTTTGAATTTTTTGATCAATAATTTAGTTGCTAAAGTAACATGTTGATCACTTGAATTTTTATTGATCATGATCATTAATGTTTGTAAATATTTACGTAAACGTATATTATTCTGATGTTGATTATCTATACAACGTATATAATGTATTAATTGTTTAATCAATAAATTATGTTTATTCCTCTGTTGTTGATTTATTAATGAGGATGAGGGTGGTGGTGGTGTTTGCGGTGTTGGTGAATGATGATCATGATTATAGCAACTATTGTTATGATAATCATCATCATGATGATGATGATGATCAAAAGTAGATTCCTCGTTCGAATCTGTTAAAATTGGATTCAATGTACTATTCAGCATAATATGACAATATGATAATAATAAAATTAATGGTAATTCATTTACACAATATTTATATATATGTTCCAATGAAGGAAGAGGGTTAATGTATAAAGTAATTCCAAATTATCACCTACTACTATCCACTAATATTCATTGTATGTATGTACGTGTGTCTATATATATTTATGTATACTTGGGACATATGTGAGTAACGGTTATCATAATCATATATCAAGTAGTTTGGGGGGGAGGTACAACAAATAAGGGGAAACGAATACTTTGAGTAGAAAATATATGCATGTATATTTATGTGTTTATCCATCTTCTATCTTCGTATGTATGTCTGTGTGTGTGGATGCGTGTGTGCGTGTGTATGTATTCATTCGTCTGAGCACCAAAACTTATAATAATAATAGTAATAATAATAATAATGAAAGTCTCAACAACAACCACAACCACCACCACAATAAAAAATAATTCGTTTCCTTTTCTTTTTCATTCAAATGGTAACAACGAATAGGAAGGCTCATAATTCTAATGTATAGTTTTAAAAAAATAAAAGTAATAATAATATTGACCAATCATATATATATAAGAGACAAATCATATTTGCGAAAAAAACAAAGACACCCCCCCTCCACCCCCCTTTTATTTTCCATTAAAAAAATTACTGTTGGTCACATTGAAAAAACAAAAAATAAAGCGAAAAAACAAAAAAAATAAACGAAATATGAAAACATACATACTTATCAAACTACAAAAGGGGATATGATGATGATGAGGATGAGGATGATGATCATCATGATGATGATGATGTGGATGAAAGTGTTGAAAAGGGATAAACCTATATATATGTGTGTGTATCTATGTAACGTGAGCAACTATCTTTTTTTTTTAAAGTATATTGAAATCAAAATTCATACACGATTTGAATCTATCTGTCCGTCTATCTATCGATCATCATTTTGAATTCATTAGGGGAAAGTAAAGAGTCGATTCAGTGTGTATCCATGTTTATATAGAGATATCATCATAACAACTACATATACACATCATTTATATTCATATGATATGCATATCGATTGACCATGTTGCTTAGATATATGTATATACCGAGAGAGAGAGAGAGAGAGAAACAGAGGGAGGGAGGGGAGTGTCTTTTTTCTAGAAATTTTCGCTTAGTATCAATTTTTTTTATTCAAAAAGACTGAAATCTAATTGTTAAAATAAAATTATCCTTTTTGATATTTCATTCATTCACACTCACACTCACATTCACACAGGTATAAACACCTAAACACAAAAAGAATAAAAAAATGAAAAAAAGTTATACTTTCTTTTGCAAAACGAGATCAAAAACTACACCCCCTCCCCCCCCCGAAAAATAGTAATGAAATTTTGGAAACTTTCATTTGTTTTTTTTTCTCTTTTTTTTGTTTGTTTCTTTTAAATAGAAAAGAGGTTTGATATCTATATAGAATGGTTAATTCATAACTGATTCTAAAATTTGCGATCCAAATAGCTCAGTGGTAACGTCTCTGAATGTGAAGTTGAGTGACACGGGGTCGAATCTCTCAGGTAGCACCAGTTCCCTCAAGATTAAAGATACACCATGCTGACGAGTGCCAAGCAGCACGAGACTGGGGTTCAGGGTTTCCTGTTGACTACTTCAATCACCATCTTATCTCAACATAGTGCACACAGTATCGAGCCACCTAGACCAATGGCTGCATTGCAACTTGATCGATAACATTCGATTAGCAAAAGAAGGACTTGATACGCATGACGTTGATCACCACCCAATGATCAATCAATTGTGATTAAAAATATTAATATAAGGATGAATTTCAAAAATAACCGCAATTAATTTTATTTGCTATTTTTTGACCAATCAGAAAACAGATTTAAAAATACTGATAGTTTTATAATAATACTTTATTTACTTACTTACTTACGCCTGTTACTCCCAGTGGAGTACAGGCCGCCGACAAGCATTCTCCAACCCACTCTGTCCTGAGCCTTCCTTTCTAATTCTATCCAACTTAAGTTCATTCTTCTCATATCTGTCTCTATTTCTCGGCGTAATGTGTTCCTTGGCCTTCCTCTTCGCTTTTGGCTTTCAGGATTTCCTCAATATGTGTCTTATCCACTTCCAGCACTTCTTCTTGATTTCTTCCTCCACTGAAATCTAGTTTGTTCTCTTTCACAGTAGCTTGTTGCTGATAGTATCTGGCCAACAGATCCGAAGTATCTTGCGTAGACAACTGTTAAGATAATAAGGAAAATAATAATATAATAAAGTATTAAACAGATTTCTAGGCAATTATGAACACTCGCGCGCGAAACATAAATCCTGAGTTTGAAACTTGCGAGGCGGGATCGTGGATGTGCATTGTTGAGGAGTCCTACGATAGGACGAAACGGTCGTCCAGGGCTACCAGATTTTCCATGGTGGTCTAGCTTCAATTGACTCATAATCTCAACTATATAAAATTATGAATTCTATTGATGTTTTACATTAAATAGGAATAATATATTTGTAAAATTTCACAGAATGAATTAATGTTTTCTACCTGAAAATCCAAATAATAAATGATAAGTGAAGGGGTTCCTATGGAACTCTAACCTTTCAAAAAACCTAACTATATTATTAACAGTCACCGTATTCACTTGTCGTTGTTTACTTGTATCTTCCTATTGTTATTTTGGACTGCAATTGTTCAGTATCAAAAAGGGTTTTGTGGAGATTTCAGTAATTTTACTATAAATCAACATATGCTTACTAGTGACTGGCTTAAAGAGATATTTCCTAGAGTTCTAGTGACAAGCAGTGAGCAATGGAGTTCAACCAGGTCTTCACAGGTGGTTTGACTTAGGTCGGTATCCGATCTCAAGAAAATTCAATAGTATCCATGACCTTATACTTACAAGAACTTGTGTTTTGATGCATATGAGTCTCGTCAGTTGGATATGCCTGTATTCCAATACTGATGAATTCGAGTCTTGAATTTAAACACCTGAAAATTATAAGCCCTGGCATGCTAATTTACATCTAGACTTAGTTGGTCCCTGGTTAACGGCAGTGGTGTTTAGAGATGAAGGCACTAGCTTTATGCCCCAATATGAATATCAGTACTTAAATCCGTATATACCCAGCTGATGAGTCTTAAACAAGCCAACACCCACAAATCCTGAATTTTGTGGCTAATCATTATCCATGTAAACAAAAACTTTTAGGTTTAATATTGGTTTAAACCTATTAAAATCAATCAATTCATGATAGAGGACCAAATTCTTTACATCCAATTCAACTATAGGGGAAGTTAGGTCCTGTCGTATTGGTGAGTATAATTAATGGAAACAAGTAAAGCTCTCTTTCTTACGCGCTTTTGTGGGTAAAGTAATCAGACTTTTTTTTATTAGAAAGAAACTCTTGAGTGTCCGGTTCATCATTCTACTGATAGACTTTCATCTTGCACTCCTGTAGACGACATTTTTTCAGGTTGGTAAACAGTTAGTGTAATTGTTTATTTTGTCTGGAATGTGTACTCTCGATAAAGAGCAATTCAATCTGTGAAAAATCAATCATAGTTATCTAATACTATTACTTATACTACTACTGTGGTGTATGCTACTGATGTTGACAGATATAAGTAGTATGCATTGCCAATCGAAAGTGAAATGCTTGGAGGTATAATGTTAAGAAGATCGAAGAGAATGAGGACAAAAAGTGACTGGTATGGAAACGAAGGAACAATAAAGTCTGGGACAATTGATTGACATTTTGCAAATGAACTATTTACTGTATGGTTCCCAGATTTTACCAAGATATTCTATCTTAAATAAGACAAAACGCACGTTCTGGATTCTACTTCTAGCCACCATCCATCTTTACTTATAATCCTTGTAACTTAAGACAATCTGCATAGTATGCATATATACCAATAAATGGAACTGATCAATTGTAGTCCTAAACATCAATGGGAAGATTCAAGTAAAAAAAATACCACAACATATTTTGCAATATTGTTTTAAAACACATTTGATTTTCCCCACTAGTGTTCTCGTTCACAACCAATCCACGAAATTGAGCGACACATCCATCATTGTCTTCAGTAAGTTACTATCTCACATCGGACACTGTTAAACTCCACTGGTCGCTGATTCTCACTAGAACTCCAGGAATTACCTCTTGGAGCCAGTGACTAGTGAGGATATGTTGATTAATATGGGAAGAGGTTTAGTGGATATTATAGTAATTTTAATAGTTGAGATTTGTTTTTTTTGATGTCCAGATTAGACAAAATTTATATGTTTTAACCTATGAAGAAGTAAACCAAATTATCAGTATAAGATTGTAGAGATTGTTAGATTTCATTGAGATCACTACGACTACAACCGCGACCACAACTATGACTATGACTACGACCACGATCACGACTACGACCATGACTACGACTACCACTACGACTACTATGACGACGATGATGACGGCAGCGGCGACGACTTCTGTTTATTATCTGACTTTCATATTTCACTTTCTTAACTGATTCCAGTTTTTTAATGACGTGAAAATATATTTTTGCATAATTTATTCATCATGTTACTTTTCATGTTCTCAATTTTATAGATAATAAAACTGTCAAAAAAAGATAAATAAAGGTTAAATGGAACCACTCACGCACGCACATACACCCACGCACCCCCCCCATAGACAACACCCCCAAAGATACACACATATACACAATTACAAAGGAGAAAACACACAACAACCATTCAGTTTAGTACAATTAAGGGTGATGTTAACACCTTAAAAATTAAATATTGATAATGGTAATAGTAATAGTAATAATAATAATAATAACTAGATGATGGGGACATTATTTATTCATTACATAACATGATTAAAATGTTGAAAAAAAGAGTCATCTGTGGAACAAGTCGGGAAACAAGGAAACATTACCCACGTAAACAAACACATATATACATCATCATCATAAATCCATCTTATATAATAA